CATCCATTATTTGTCGTTATTTTTGCTTCTCTTTAGGAGCACCCCAGTGAGTTGCTGAGTTGTTTCTATAAAACAGACCATCCAGTCTTAARGCTAAAACCTGCCAAAATTGAAGTGGTCAGCGTCGAACCAGATATCCAAATACTTCACGAGGCAGTGAAGGACAAGGAAATACAAGAAATTATTAAGAAAGCCAAGCCAAAGGTACAGCCTCGTTAGTCCAGCCTCGTTCCCTGGACTTCTCTCGCTGTTAAGTACAGAGAACAAGGTTGGGTTACCTGCACCTATCTTGAAAGCTAATAACCATGCCTTTGTTTCGAAGCGAAGTCGGTGTGAAAGAAGGTTTTTATTATTGCCCGCTCAGCGGTCTTCTCGCTTCGATACAAAAGCACAACTACCTTTCGAGATGGCGTAGGGAGACTATTGCCATTGCGCATAAATTATATAGTACGACAAATAAAGGAATATGAATGATCTTTTTTAGCTTCATAGGGCTTTTGTCACAAATGTTACTAACGGCGAACAGATTCACTCTGACTACAGAATAAGTCGAAGGTATGGACCTATGGTTACTTACCCGCTTAAAGGGACACTGTCAATGGCCGACGCATGCGCGAGTAAACTTGAAAACATTAGGCAAGTGTTTTCAAGTTTATGACTCCAAGTTGGCGCTACATAAATCAGCTCGTAAACGTAAACAGATCTAGAATATTCAAAAGTGTGTCAAAAGCACCACAAAATGATTTACCTCGAAGGTAATACTTTTAAAGTCCGTTAGAGGTGAGACTGTTACTGCGCATGTCATCCATTGACAGTGTCCCTTTAAAATGACTGCTGACAGCATTTAAATATTGAATGATTGAGCTAATTTTAACCATTTCAAACAGCAGGCTGGCCACTTGAGTGGAATCAATAGTCTTCTGAACAGTTCCCCGAGCGCATGTCATCCATTGAAAGTGTCCCTTTAAGATTTTTTCGCGCTCGCAATGGGCATTGTACAACGACGCCATTTCGTACAACAAAGCATGATAGGGAGTTGTTAGTCCTGGTACTTTTTATGGCCCATGAAAAATCTCGCCGTTTTTACATTTTCTTTATAGAAACGACTCATTTACTTCTATTTTTGAAAAAAGAAAAAGCAAATGACTTAAGACAGCTGGTTCAACGGACATGAAAATGTGCGAGGACTACAACTCCCAACATGCTTTGTTGCACAAAATGGCGTCGCTGAACATTGCCTAACAATCCTTACCATAATGCACTTCTTCAAATAAACATGACGTCATCAGGAAAACTTATCACTCAGTGACAAATTGTTACTATTTCAGCTCATGGCTAAAAGAGAACGARTCCAAAGTATTAAAAACTTTAAATACAAGACTGGATGCTTTAACTGGACTGTTTGTTGGTGACGATCACTCGGAATTCTTACAAGTGGTTAACTATGGTGTTGGAGGTCATTATGAACCACACCACGACTACCTCTCAGTAAGTGTTTRACGTAAAGGCCAATCTTTACTGATATTTACTAGTCTCATGGATACATAAGGCACTTACGTGCGTGTGATCATGAGTGAGCGGATCGAGATTATGATGTCATGAACCGTCGGAAACGTGAAACGTACGGACGAGAGAACCGAGTAACATGACAATCTCCGGTTAAWTAGTGCTTTTTTCACCGCTACCTTCTTCTTTTCCACTCACTTTACTAATGAAAATAGGCCTTCATAAATCAAATCCTGGATTACAAAAGTTAAATAGACGAAACTGGTTTTATGTTCAGTGTGTTCTTTATAGCTAATACGACTTTCTGAAAGTCTACCTTGCTTGTCGTCCCTGGCTAATCATGAGTTCATGTTTTTCACTTGTTGACTTACTTAGATCTTCACGAATCCTTCACTTGACGAGGGTCAAGGTGATCGCATGGCMACAGTATTATTTTATGTAAGTATRTATTAAAGAAATGTCTCCCCGGATTTTAAACGGTTAGATCCTCAAGYTTTTACGTCATGTGCTGTAATATTARCAATGCATTGTAGGATATGTTTGGGACAGAATATGGCGGCTTTCTTTTAACTKAACCCACAATGCATTGAAAGTCAAGTAGTGACCTGAAAGATCCAGAGATCAATTAGCATTTTTATTTTATTTTTTGTTGTTATTTTCAGCTAAGTGACGTCACAGCAGGGGGAGCAACGGTRTTTCTAGACCCCGAAGTTGTCGTCRAACCTAAAAAGGTACAGTAATTATATACGCATTAGGCTCCTCGGCAGGCAACCCTTGTATCGTCTTCTTTGGTCTTCCTTTGTTATCCTGCGGAGAGGGGACTGGGTCCCCAGCCCCCTCATAAGCCTTTTTTCGCCACAGGAAGCCCAAAAAGCCAAAAGCGGGTAGAGTTGCCTGCGGAGGAGGCTATATACGCATCGATATATGAATATARAAAACATAGTACAAAAGATTTCATTGACTTTTGCGTTGGTTAGATCGAACTGTTGAATTCATTGTCTGAACTTAAGCTCGACTATGATAAAGGGAGGGAGGGAAGGAGGAAGGGAGGGAGGAAGGAAGGAAGGAAGGAAGGGAGGGATTGGTTGGTTACTTTGTTCTTAGTTGATTGCTCATACCATCCGTAATGCTTTTAGGGCGATGCAATATTCTGGTACAACCTAATGAGGAATGGACAGCCAGATACAAGAACGTCCCACGGCGCATGTCCAGTTATTGTTGGATCAAAATGGGGTAAATACATATAAACTGCAGGCTCATAGTTATAGMATATTTACTATGATTATATGAAAAGCATGGCCCTTTCGTCTAATGATGTTGGAAAGTTTGGGATGATGTTGGATTGATAAAAGTACAAACTGAGCGATTTTCTTGTTGTATTTCATTCGTGGATGTTTTTCGAACAAGAAACATTAGCTATTTCCCAGCTAGGTTTACACCGAATAGTGGGTAGGGATCTCATAATTCGTTGYTCTACCAAATGATTATCGACTAATTTTCGATGTGTAAATTTCGTAAAGTAACTTAATTCGTCCTTTTTAGATTTCATAACCGCCATCTTGAAATTTTTGTCAATTTACCATCATGCACTTCGCTCAATCATGACGTCATTAAGCTAGAAAATCATTATTGTTTTTCATTCGATTACAGTTGCTAATAAATGGATACTAGAAAGAGGACAAGACGTGAGAAAACCGTGTACACTCAACGAGGACGAATAAAGCCACAGACTTCAAACAATGTCATATCAAAGACCTGGACAACTTCACAAGGACGTAACACGACTGGAAGGAAGTCARACTTGACAAGAGATGTGCAGGGACGCCATTTTGTGCGGTAAAGCATAAAGGGTGGTGTAGTCCTTACGTTTATATATTTTTTTAAAACAGTCACTGAAACGACAGTGTAGGAATGGCAAAAATTTTCGCATCTTCGAAAATAAACACGGAAACAGATTTCAGATTTTGTGGAGTGCTTCAACGGGTATTAGAAACGTGAGGGCCGTTTTTAAGGCCATGCATTGCTGGATAAAATTGCGTCGTTCCGTGTATTTTTAGGTCCTTTAAGATGGGCATTTTTGTTTTTCATTTTCAAAGGATTTCTTATTAGGATTCATACCATCAACAAAGTCGCCCATCTAAAGCGGAGAACAGAGATCAGAAGCTTTTCAGTAAACATCTTCCTACAATAGAGACATAATTAATTCAAAATGGCGGCCGACTGAACAATATTGTCTTTTGATAAGAAAAATCTTATTAATAAAAGCAAAGACACAAAAATAGCAACTTAATAATATTTATTACCAGTACTTGATTGCTTTATATTAGAAATGAGTTGAAAAATTCTCTTCAAGCTGATGAACTCGTAGGCCTGATWACTACATACGGGACTTTAGAAAACGATAAAAATATGATTGACCAAGAGGGTCTGGAAACTACTTTCTTTTGATGAAATTGGGATAATAAATTAATTTATAATTTGATCAAATTATATTTATAATTATATTCCTTGTGTGACTCCTAATATTTCCATCATCTACTAAATCATTAAAAAAATCTCATGGTCGATTGTTTATTCGTCGATAGATAGAGTACAGGGTCTGCGGAATTCTTGACCGTGCTCGTGAATCCACTTGTTGCATACTGTAAGAAATGTTAAAAATTGGGTTAACTCGTGGATACGAATTCCTTTTTCAAAGTGAGTGACTGTTGTTTTAGTTGACAACAATCTCAGTAGTACAAAGACTTTTCCAAAGACAAAGAATGCGGAATCTCAGTAGTACAAAGACTTTTCCAAAAACAAAGGATGCGGACGGCTTAAAGAATCATAACCACCCGCCGTACCTTGCGAACCGAAGCGCCATTTTAGGTGGACACGAAAATGGCGGATTTGTAGGATTTCTTAAAGTGAGCGCAAATCGTCTTCCGTCCTTTTAGTTTGGACAGAAATACCTTTAACTAAGTACCTTACAGGTACTATCAATCTATAATCTATTGTATGCTAGACGCATTTAAACGTATGTAAACAATAATACGAGCGCGCAAGGTACGACGGGTGGTTATGATTCTTTAACTCTAGGTCTTGTGGTAATAGACTTAGCCTTAAATCGGAGAAGACTCAAATTTCTAGAGCTATTGACTTGTAATGCCAACATTTCGTTCTTTCTTTTGTTTTGGGTAAGGTCTTCGCGCAAGTGAGTCTGTTGCCTACTATAACAGCGGTCTCTCTCTTTGAACGGGAATAATGCGTACTGGGAGAACTGGGTTCAAATTTTAAACCACTTAAGCAATAGGTGCTTCAATTAAACATTAAATTGAATAGCCCGATAACGTAAATGGATCGAAGGCCTATGATTTACTTACCCCATTTTGAACCAACTACAACCGGGCAGCCGGCATGACGAGTGAGTGGATCGCCTTCTCCATTTCTCATCAGGTTGTACCAGAATGCAGCATCACCCTGCAATGAATCATGGGATGGCTATTAGAGATGTTTTGATTATCGTTCGCAGCTATGCGTTTAAAATTTGCAGAAGTCTCTGATTCAGTAAGAACTTTTAGCTAAAGTTATACACCCTTTTAATAAGTCCCGAGGTATTGTATTCTCCGCACATGACTTCAAATTTATTCTTTTGAATTCCTTTTGTATTGCAAAAAATTCAAAAGAATACATTTGACGTCAAGTGCGGAGAATTCAATACCTCGGGACTTATTAAAAGGGTGTATACAAATGTTACCTTGCTTGGACGGGCGATTGCCTCAGTGTCGACGAAGACTGTCGATCCTCCTGCTTCTACGTCAGTCATCTGAAATGATGTAACGAGACAGTAATCAACGGTTAACTGGAAATTAACGTTGCCAAGGAGAATATATGCCAAAAGCTATTATTAGACATTTTTACAGTTCTCATAACTCTCTCTTACATAAAAGAGAACGGTTGCAATCCTGTTGCCCATTCCAATCTTCATRATGGCGCTATAGCTCTCCTGTGAATAACATTAMAAAAACTCGGTAAATAATGGCGAATTGTCAATATGGCGGCGACGCCATTTTGTGCGACGACAAAGCACGATGGGAATTGTAGTCCTTGCATTTTTCATGCGCACTAAAACAGTCTAGTTTTTAAATATTATTTAGTAGTGAA